TAAGGTTTTATATATTTAACTTCGCACGAGTGTTTCAGAGAATTATTAAGCTCGAATCGAGACTACATTTACTATAATTTGGCTCTTTATCGAGCGAGTAAATAAGTAAGCCGAACGCCCCAAAAATTCCTATTCGCTTCCCAAGAAACTTGCCAATATTATAACTAAAGGGTCATTCGGGCAGTACACGGTGAAATTGTATCATATTATATTGACTTTTGTCAATCCAATTCGCCAGTGTATCTGTAAAAATGTAATGTTTGGCATGATAATACGTAAATACAGTTTCGTAAGTGGTATCCACGTTCCCGTTTCACCAAACAAACTATAAAAATATTTAATATCGTGACAGGATGCTGCAGCATCAGCTTAATATTTGTGCGTTTTGAGCTCAGCTCGAGCGTCTATAGAGTTAGAAAAATCGTTCTATAAATGTACATGCGAGACTAGTGGCTAAAATACTTGAAAACCTTATCGACATTTGGCCTCTATCGAGTTTAAAGTGAATGTGTTCTTTTTGGATTTTAGATGATAAAGGATAAGGAAAAAACTCGTTAAATGTTATTTATTGCTGAATTTCAGTGCCCGAGTGGCACAAATATTTGAGTTTGTTGACTCTTCTTTATATTATTTTAACATGATGTAAGTTGATGGAACAGATATGATAAAATATTTCCAGAAATAAGTTCAAACAAGAGATCACGATTAAAGATATTTATAACAGAAAAAAAAGTATTCATGTATTCCTCGAGAAATAAAATATAATATCCCTTTCGTAAAGTTTTAATACACTCGAGGGCTTGCATATATATTTTTTAATTAAACATAAACAAAAGCAATGAGTGAGTAACATAGACAATACTGTGAACAATGATTTAAATATCTAGATATTGATGCGTACATTTTTATTATTTCTCTTAAATCGTCTTATTTACTGTTCTTTCTATTGTTTGTACTTAATGCACTTTAATGTGACTAGTCAAGTAAACAAATTAATTTCATCCGTCCACGATAATATCAAACTTTCTATTCACTGATCCTGCAAAGATTGCGCACCGGCTCTTGCATTTCCTTCAAAATAAGTAAAATCATAAAAGGAGAAAATTGTAAAGTGAAAAGAAAAGTTACAAAAAAGTGTCTCGGGATACCGAAAGACAAGTCCGTTGATGGTGAGGGAAACCGGTAGTAGCTTTGTAGCAATCCCTCATGGTTCAATGCACCCTCTACTTCACTTGCTCTCTCTCTCTCTCTCTCTCTCTCTCTCTCTCTCTCTCTCGTTCAACGCGTGGGTTGGCCATGCATCAGAGTGGCAGCAACAGCAGTGCATCGCCCCCTTCATCTCCCTAGCGTTTTATTGCACGCGAGAGATCAGGAGCCGCAATATCGGAATTGCGAGACAAAGGTATTTTTACATTTGTATACTAAAATGAAACTACAGTGTACCAAGAGGTAAAAGAAAAAGAAAATAAAAAAACTAAGCTAAGTTATTTGAGATACATATGTAGATGAATGGATAAATTAATATGTGTGTGCGTGCGCGCGCGTGTGTGTACGTGTGTACAGTGAGGAGGGGGAGGGGATGGGGAGGGGGAGGGGGGAGTATAATGATAAACAAAGACATATAAAAGTGAAAAGTTGATATTTCAAATGAATTTGAAAGATTGTTTATTCAAGTAGATTTGAATTCAAATAAGTGACAGAATGATAAGCTATAGGAGAAAATTTATTGAGGATAAGGAAAAAAGATTGATTAAAGTGAAGAGCGATTTCATTTTTATTTTGAAAAATTCAAGAATATTCAGTAAGACTCAAGTTTCTATTATCAAGTCAATTCTTCTTATATAAACATTTTTTATGGTAATGAAAAAATAGAAGTAATTAATTTATAAAACAGGCGATAAAATTTTATGCTTTTCTTTTACTTCCATACAATTCATATTGCATTTACAAGTAAAATAAATATTAAACATTAATTATATAATTCAAATATATCACATTCTAATCAAAATCATCGAATAGCTAATGAAATCATTGAATTTTCATCTAGAATTTTACTGTGATCATTATACTTTAATACAATTCTAATGTTTGGTTAAAAATATTGGATACAATAATGTATAATATTAAAAATAATTTGGAAAATGGTGTATGATATTTTCATCGAATTACATGGCAATTAATAGTTTATTTTTATAAATATTATAAAGCTTACAATACTTAATATTATAATTTTGGTAGATTATTATTTACCCAATAGTGTAAATATTTATTGACTGAATGAACACTACTTGAACAGAATTTTGTAAACATTTTTTTAAGTTATACATATGCTATAAGCATATATACATATATATGTGTGTGTGTGTGTGTGTGTGTGTGTGTGTGTGTGTGTGTATAATACAAAACGCCTTTAATGTAGCAAAGTTGCAAGGTAAGAAGACATAACGGATGTATGTCATTACAATAAGTATTACATTACATCATAAAAAATGTAAGGTTTTCTATTATTCCATAGCCAAGACATAAGTGGAGAATATTCAAAATCGAATTCACGCGAAGCATTTGGCATTTAAGGAATACTCTTGCGTGACAACAACGTCCATTTTATTAAGAATTGATTTGCATTTTTATAATCATGGTTTTTCGAGTGAAGTCGCGACCGTACATTTGCTTCTAAAGTTTCTTGTATTAACCAAAGCCAATTAATAACAATAGGAATGAGTAAGATAGTCATAGTTTAAGGGCGTGCAAAGCTAGTCACCACGTAATTTACGTAGCAAGTACGAATGCTAGTATGGCCAAAGTTGCGAGAGAGTCCGAGAGATGCGGATACCGATTGAACAAGGAAAGACAAGTTAAGCGAAAGACTTGGGAAGGGGCAAGCTAGTTTCTTCTCTCTTTTACATGACCAAGTTAAAGCAATTTACGGGTCGACCAGTTTAGACGGACCCCGCTGGAACATCATCGTCGCCCTCCGTGATGGTGCGTTTCGCCCGAGGAAGTCGCACCCCGGCACAGAGACGCCGTGGCGCGCCTCGACAGATCGATCCTCCTCCGCGAGGCTGAGTCATACCTTCCTTCCTTGGCTTTCTCCCGCGGGGTCGCGACCCCTCCTCCATCCTCGTGCGTGCACCCATTTCACTGAGGGACTATACGGGTGGATCGAGGGGTGCCGACTTCGCTTTTCTCGCCCCTGCGCTCGATTTCTTTTATTAGCGTGTGCGGCTCTCGGTTGTCCTTGGTGGTGGATTCGCCTCCTCTTGGCCACGACATTCGCCGTCGACATAGGGGTTGACTGACCGGCTGCCGCCTTTTCCGTCTTTAAATAGTTAGGGATTAAATGGGGCTACTACTCCGCAACCATGGTGGTGGCACTTTTACCATCCATTTCCACGGTTATATAATAGGGCTTCTCCTCTTCTATTGCGGAACCTACTTGCAATGCTTTTTACATCCGACTTCCCTCAGCAAAGCTGCTACTTTCTACTTCGGAACTTTGGCTCTGTAAGAGCTCGAAAATTTTTCCCTCTTTCGAGCTATTATATATATATATATATATATATATATATATATATATATATATATCTTCGAAAATTTGTCAAATAAATTAATTATAAAAATTACGTTCCGCAATTGAGATCAATTTTAGAGCGAGAGTCTCCAATTGATATTTTGGTTAATGAAGAAATTCTCGTAATATTGATTTAGTTGCCGTTCCTTACGTCTATCTCATTAAAATGCCAATATCAGCGCATATAAACGCACAGATATAAACGGGGAAATATAAGCTTGTAGCATATAAACTTCAATTTACATTGATTATACTTATTGTACTAAATGTTAATGTAATGAAATATATGAGTCGCAAACTGGTCTTTTATTTCGTTCAATGAAAAGTAACGATCGACGAAGATCTCGCGTGAATATTAATTTTACCAAAGAAAATCTACAATAACCATTGACGCGAAAATTAAATGTGTCTATTATAAGAATATAATTACATTGAGTTACTGGGTTTATGATTTAGGTTCTTATATGTATTACGATTTTCACAATTACGTTTAACGTGATTGTGAATTGTCGTGCTTGTCGCGCATGCACCACGGTTGATTACTTTAATGGCTTTTGAATATCAACCAATGTAAAAACTGTTATAAAAAAATTATGTATTTCAGACGTGAAGTTTGATTTTAATTAAAAAATAGACATTATCCAACTTAAGGAAAATGAAATATCATAAGTAAATTTTGAAAATGGATAATTTGATGCTAATGTTGAATAGTGCATGTTGAACAGTAATGAGAATTTCATATTATTTGTAGGTGCTTTAGATTATATAAGTTGAAGAATTTTATTATCGCTTTTATAATACATGTTTATTTGTTTATATGGCAAAATATATGAATAATTTTGTGCTTTATAATTGAATGAAATTTATTAGCTTTCAAATGTCCTGCGACAATATATTCCGTGGTACTTGGTTAGACGTATCAAAATGGCATTTCCTATTGTCAATTCGATATTCACTGCATACAACCTTTCCAATGCTATACAATACCAAAGATGCTGAATTTCTAATGTGTTAAAGTAAATTATGAAATTATGAAATAATTTTAATCTGTGTCAAGATGTCAATGTACAATGCACCTTATTAATTATCCATAAAATTTCATTCGATATTAAATCTATCTCCTATATCCTCTTCTCATTTCCTCATTCTATAATTTCTCTTCTTGTAACGAGTGAGCTTCTGTCCAAGCACAAAGTAAGTATAAATCTTTTAAAAGGATTAAACATCGCGCCTCGACCCCCCATCCCCTCCCTATCAATATCTCAATGCAGTAAATTATGTCGAATAGAGACAATGAAGAGATCTCGGTGTCATTGACTCCAACGTTGCACAGGCGCGACAGGTTGAGAAATAAAAGGATGGAGATGTCATTAAGTATGGGCAAAATAGTCGTTGATAACTAATGAATCGGCGATCCTCGTGTCCACAGCAACCGAGATTCGCTGCCAAGAGAAGACAAAAGGTGGACTACGATATGAGGTGATCCTCGCCGAGCCGACGGCCCCGGCCAAGTGTACACTCTCGCCCCAGCCGTCGCCTACCCAGACGGCCAATATCGATGACAAGTTGCGCGCGGCCGCGGAGCGACGCCTCTCCCTCGAGGCTAATAAGATCGCCGCCCTGAATGCCCAACTAAGCAAACTCGAGGAGGTCGCCCGGAAGAGGGAACAACTAAACATCAACTTCGTCAATGCCACCCGCGAGTCCCTCGACACGAAAATGAACAACAGCGAGGAGAAGAGGGACGCCTACATCGCCGATCTCAGGAACAAGCTCAAGGAGCACGTGAGTAAAAAATCAGGACCTCGTCAATATCTATTAATCCAATTCTCACGTCAAATTTTACAAAGTCAAATTCACCCTTGCAGCTGGAGTCTGTCGAAAGGACAAGAATGTGCCTGGACGTGCAGACTGAAGAAGTGCGCAAGGCCGTTGAAAAGAAAGTCCAGAGCGTCACAGCCCAGCGCGACGAAAACATAAAGAAAATTGTCGAGCGCCTCAGGGAACATGTTAGTTGAACTAATACCATATTTTATTTCATTCGACGTTTAATTGATGTTAAATGCCGAGCTCGATTAGTCATAATAAGTGAGGCATAATAACGTACCGCGAACTATCCATAATAATTATTAAGCTACTAGCCCCGCTAAGTACATTAATGGCGCGTGGCTCACAGTCAACAATATGGTATTTTAGGAGGAGCAAGTGATTCGTGTGCGCCAAGGTATATCCGATCGGATTCAACAGCTCGAGTTCCAAATTCAAATTAAATTAAATCAGGCGTGCGAGCGGCGCGTGACCATCGAACGCAAGCAAATGAAGAAGTACCGCAATCATGTAAGTCCTTGTTTATGTCTTATCCTTATCCAATTTGATTGACTAATTTGAGTCTTTTTGTAACGAAGGGGATTAAATATCTGTGCTCAATGAACAATGCAAATTGCATTTGTAAAATTACCCTTGGAAATTGAAATTGAGTCCATTGAGAAATGAAAATTGAGTACAATTACCGTTTCATTAATCTAACGTTTATTTACGAAGAAAAAATTATTATATTAATTATTATTAAATTTGCAGGCAATAATAATAATAATAATAATAATAATAATAATAATAATAATAATAATAATAATAATAAACTCTCATATACCGTTTATTAAAGCTACGCCATTGATTTTAGTATAAGTATTCCAAAAGGTACGCCATACATTTTATTAGTATAATTAATCTTCATTATAGATGATGCAACGATGAAATAAAATATCGTCAATATATCGAGGTTTATTGTCATTTTGAAATTCTTATTAGATTAATGGTCAATATATTGTATCAAACCGTCGAAGTATATTGAAAATGAACAAAAGTCAATTAATTAATTAGATATTTAAAAATCCTTGAACCTTTGATCGACGCGATCAATATAATATTTAATCAAATTGTATCAAATCTGTTAAATATTCGTATAATATAAAAACGATAATTAATAAAGTTATTAAATAATGAGATTTTTTCGTGAAATTGTTTAAATAGTAATAATTTGAAGATATAAGTATAAAGTATGTATGTAGCGCATTAAGTCATCTTGGGATAAAAATATAGATAATTTAAATTTCGAAATAAATTTATTTCAGTATATTACATCATTTAAATTGTCAAACTAAGGTGTAACTATAATTCTTACACTACTTACAATCATTATTTATTCTACAATTTATTTCATTAAGTAGACTAAATACTAAGTCAATGAAAAAGAAGGTCTATTATAAGTTTTTCTATAGCTTCGAAACTTTAAAAGTTAGTCATGAATATAGAAAGCTGCGAGAAGTTCAACAATATATACTTGTTATTTGTTTATTTAAAGGCGTAAATTACTGTTTTTTACACGATTTTTTCCTAAGATAAAGTTAATTAATTGTAACAAATGGTAAGTTTATTTTTAATTTTGATTAAAATTTTGTTAAATTAATTATTTAATAATTTAATTTAACTGCTTTAAATATTGAAATTCAAGAAAACATTCCTTTTTTTTTTTTCGATTTAACATACTTACAGGCATTAAAGTATACAATTTTAATGAATTTTTCGTATGTTTTAAGGAGAAACGTATGGAAATGGTCAGGCAAAATAAAGCCAAATTTCAAACCAAAGATGACGATGAAGATTTTATGGACAATATGCCAATGGGCAACGAGACTGCGAGCTCCGGTTAAACCCCTTTCTGAACGTCTATCATCTTATTTTACATTTAATTATCTTATTACCTATATTTAAGAGATCATAAACAAACAAACAAAAAACACTGCTTTTCCTTACTGTTTAATTTTTTTTTTTTTTTTTTGTTTATATATGCAATTGTACTTTAGGCTTTGAAATTTCATTTGAAAAAGGGGAACAGTCCCGCACACTTTTTTTTTATTTTCAGAAAAACATGCGTATAATAAGTAAGAGTGCTTAACATTCATATTTTTTTACTGGCGCATTTTAGTGAATAATATATTTAGTGTATCATTATGTATTAATCATCTCGCTTTTCTAAG